GCAAGACGCATTATTAAAATCAACATAGGGAATCAAAACTGTATACCCAAGACCTGACCTCAGCCTGCTAATATGGTACAGCAGAGGTATAACAATCAGATTCCTACCAAAAAAACCCAAGCCCTTTGCTAAACAAGTCTTAGAACTCAAGCCAACGTAGGAACCAAACCGTATGAGAGAGAGGAGGATGGTCTAGTGGATAAGGGGCAGGACTGGGACTCAGTAGACTTCTGACCTTGAACTTGATCCTCAGAAGACCTCACTGATGTCAACACCTGTTGTGACTGAACCCTTAGGCTTTGTCTACACTGGAACTTCATAAGGAAAACGTTTGTTGTTCAGGGGTGTTAAAAAAAAACAAACCACCACCCCACCACTACCCCCCGAATGACAAAAGTTTTACTGACAAAGAGCACTGGTGTGAACAGCGCTTTGTCAGCAGGAGCGGTCTCCAGCCGACAAAGCTGCTGCCGCCATTCGTTGAGGGTGGAATTTTTTTTGTCAAGCAGCAGCTACTCTGCGTGCCCACAGCCGTGTCGCTCAAAGCTGCATAGTGTAGGCATAGCCTTAGTCTTTCTGATTCCTCAACTGCAAAATGGGGATGACAACATTTACCAGCCTACCAGGAAAGTGTTGAGAGGCTAAATTAATCCAAGCTTGTAGAGTGCTTTGGGATCCTTGGATGGAAGGTGGTGGTGAAAAGCAAAATATCTATACAGGCCTGGATTCAACAGAAGAAAGCTCACCAGTCTCCCCTTTCCTAGTCATCTAAAGACACTGCGTAAGTCTAGGTAATCATTCCATGCAATACAATCACTGTCTGAAGGCTTCGGGAGGCAATGCAATGGAACCATGTCAGGGTGGTTTAGCCAAGTGGCTTAGCCAACTTGAAAAAAATACTTCTTATATACGCTCAATTACAAATGATTAATTTTGGTATGATCCTAGCGGAAGCAGGGGAATGCTCCCGCTATAATTTTTCCTGGCTTCTATACTACCCCGTTGGAATCCCCGGCCCAACTCCCTTTACCTGGATGCCTGCCTGACTGCGAGGACTCCTCTTTCTCTCTCCCGTGCAGCAGAGTCCTTTTAACCCCAAGAAGGCGGGACCCAGGATCCGTGTGGGGCTTAACCCCCAGTTTCATCATGGGAAATTAGAGTGGAGCTACCCTAGGCTCTGTCCTGGAGTACTCTCTCCTCACTGTCCACTTCTCGGCCCAGGGATCACTACTATTGAGTTTAACCACATACAATTTATTAAACAGCAATTATAAACAAATAAGGACCTGGCTAGGTGACCAGCTGGCCGACTTGGGAGGGCTGGCCTCTCCCCATTGGCCCTGGGGACCTGTCACTCCCAGGATTCTGACTCCTCTTCGGCCCTTCCCCTTTCTCCTGATATTGGGAGAGGGCCAACAAAAAAAGCTAAGTTTCAGTAAGGGGCCTAAAGCCCCCTTTCACAAGGGCCACTTTAAAAAGGCAGCAGGAGACGTTAAGGGAAGGGAATGCACGAGGAAAGGAATATAAAAGCGTGGTGGGACCACCATCACCACCACAAAGAACGCCAGGAAAATCACACATGGGCATTCTTGCAAACATACTTTAGAGAACACGTAATGCTGGCATCACACCAGGAGGCAGAGTTTATTAGGGGAAAGTTTTCAGATGCCCTATGATATTAATGTAACAGCAACTCCGGGGTGCTGGAACAATTTGTATAGTGGGGGTGCTGAGAGCCATTGAACCGAACTGTAAACCCTGTATACGATGGAAACCACTTCAAGCCAGCGGGTACAGCAGCACCCCCAGCACCTATGCAGCAACTACAGTTCCAACCAAGGCGATCACAAGGTGGAAGCCAGTAAGCGGTGCCAAATAAAATGGAGCCAGCTGCTGGGGCTAGCGTGGGACACAGACATCTTCAATCTTCCTCCAGTAAATGTCTGCCATCCAGGAAAGTGCATCACAGCCACCTTTGGACAGAGGTTGGGTTGGACAGTGGACTTTAAAAGTGATTCAGAGGGTCCCTGGTTACTGCAGAGTCCATGCTCTAGTTTATTCCTGCGCAATGCAAAATTTTGCAGAAATTAATGTTGTGCGCACAGAATTTCCTTTCCCCCCCACCGAAATGGGCTGCAGAGATGTTGGCTGCCACTAGGGGCCTCTGGACCCAGCAGAGCCCAGCTCGCAAACAGAAGACAATGGGGGCGTTCCCAGCAGCTGCAGTTCTCAGCACACCCTGAAGGAAGGAGGCAGCGCATATAGGAAACTCTGTGCAAGCCCGGGACATGGCATCAGGCTGTTTCTCCCTCTGGATCCCTGGGGGAGGGGGGGTCCCTGCAGCTGCCTCTGGGGGGTGCGAGTGTCTGGGGGTGGAGGGGGCCATGGCTGCAGGGCCGGTGTAACCATTAGGCAAACTAGGCGGCCGCCTAGGGTGCCAAGATTTGGGGGCGCCAAAAAGCGGCGTGGACTCCGGCAGCTCCCCGACCCAGCTCACCTCCGCCTCCTCCCCTGAGCGGGACGCTACATCCTGCTTCTTCCCCCTCTCTCCCAGCACTTGCACCGTGAAACAGCTGATTCACATGGCAAGCCTGGGAGGAAGGGGGGAGGAGGAACGCGCGCACTTGGGGAAGAGGCGGGGTCAGGGCAGGGATTTGGGGAGGGATCCAATGGGGGCAGGGAGGGGGCGGGGCCATGAGGGGCCAGGGGGAGGGGAGAGGAGGAGGAACGCGCGCGCTTGGGGAAGAGGCAGGGCCAGGGCAAGGATTTGGGGAGGGATCCAATGGGGCAGGGAGGGGGCGGAGTTGGGGCGGGGCCACGGGTGGGGCTGGGGGGAGGAGGAATGTGTGCGCTTGGGGAAGAGGCGGGGCCAAGGCAGGGATTTGGGGAGGGATCCAATGGGGCAGGGAGGGGGCGGAGTTGGGCGGGGCCGGGGGTGGGGCCAGGGGGGGGCGCAAGGTGGAAGTTGTGCCTAGGGCGCAAAATATCCTTGCACCGGCCCTGCATGGCTGGCCTCTTGGGGGGGGGGGGGGGGGGGTCTGGGGGCCAGGGAGGGCCCCATTCAAGGTAAAGTGACCTCTGCAGTCATAGGACAAAAAAGAGGGGTTAGTGGGTTACAGATTGTTGTAATAAGCAGTGCATCCAGTGTTTATCTATTCAGTCCATGATTTTTAGTGTCTAGCACAATTATGAATTTAAGCTCCTGGGCTCATCTTTTGAAAGTGTTGTGCAGGTTTCCTTTGAGGATGAGGACTGGTAGGACTTAGAGTGATTGCTTTGTGAAAAGTTGTTCACCCACAGGTGCAGGGGTGGGTTTTTTGTGTGTCTTTTATCATTTTCCTATGTGAGTATATTTGAGAGCGTAGTGACTGTCTGGTTTCACCCACATAGTTGTTACTGGGGCAGTTAGTGCACTGGATGAGGTTTATGGAGGAAGTCAGTTGTGTTCTGAAGGTCCAATAAAAGATATTACCTCACCCACCTTGTCTCTCTAATATCCTGGGACCAACACTACAACTACACTGCATACAGGTAGCTATAGACATTTAGCTGGTGATTGAGAAAAGGGATTGGCATCCTAAGTGTTAAATGAACACGAGTACTTGTGGCACCTTAGAGACTAACAAATTTATTAGAGCATAAGCTTTCGTGGGCTAAGTGTTAAATATTCTTCAAGACAAGGAAATCACTTTTTATTAAAAAAGCAAGCTGAATAAGACATCAATGACCTTTCGAGCCTGCCTCCAACTCCCTCACAGCATGCTGACCAAGTAGAAAGTGTGTCAAGAAGCCTTAAATAACTTTAAGCTGCATGAACGTCATGTAACGAATCACATGACCGGTTGCCACCTAAGGGAGTGACTGCTTGAGGACCTATGTAACGAAATATAGATGTAACCACTAGCTAGACTATAAACAGACCTACTTTTTTGGATTCCTATGACCTTGCTAGATTATTGACCTTACCATACTTTGAGAAGGCAATATGATACAGGAGTTAGACCATTGAGACACGTAGGTTCTGTTCCTGCCTCTGATTTGTTGTTTGATCTAGAGCAAGTCACTTATCCTCTTTGACTTACTTTTCCAATGTGAATATAGGGACAATTCTAAAGTGCAGCTGTGGTAAGTCAAGTCCATACGTAAAAACATTTTTCCTCAACAATTGCTCCATTTGTATATCCAAGGGCAAAATCTGTTACCCTTAGCAAAAAGTCTCAATTTTTACTGCTTTTTGCCCGTTATCACTACTGACAGAACAATACAGGTAGCACTGCAGTTCCTACAACACAGCTGTGGGACAGCGAGCTGGAGCCTATACTGGCTTGCCTGTCAGCAAACCTCCTCTCTCCTCCCCTTCCCCCCAAAACAACAATAGTTAACTGGGGGAGGGATAGCTCAGTGGTTTGAGCATTGGCCTGCTAAACCCAGGGTTGTGAGCTCAATCCTTGAGGGGGCCACTTAGGGATCTGGGACAAAAATCAGTACTTGGTCCTGCTAGTGAAGGCAGGGGGCTGGACTCAATGACCTTTCAGGGTCCCTTCCAGTTCTAGGAGATGGGTATATCTCCATATATTATTATTATTATAAGTTTCAGCTGAAGACTCCCTTGTTTTCACAAGAGATGATGAGCCAGAAACAGCCCAGCTTGACTTTCAGATCCCAAGTGAAGTTATTACAGTGATGGGTGCTGCAGAAAAACTTGAAAGAGACGTTTTCAAACAAATGTCTAGTTTTTCTTGCAAAAGGAGCAAATTTTATATGGAAGCCACTGAGAAGAAATGAACACAGAACCCCATGAAACCATCTATATGAAGTCACTGATCAGGCAGATCAGTGCTTTAACCAACCTAGCTCAAAGAGCTGTTATGAGAATTCATCAGTTGATGTCTGTGAAGTGGTTTGAGACCCATGTATGGAAGATGCATTAATATTGCTTTACATCTAACTGAAAGCATACATTACTTTTGAAGATTGGATGCTTGCCTTAAACGCCTTACCTTGCTATCCAGCTTCTTCATCGTTACCAGATCTAAGGATTTGAGCGAGTGCCCAGTTGGAGTGATGAAGTAAAGGCAGACGTGGATTCTTGTGTCATGATAATTAAAGAGAGAACGACGGATTTTCAGCTCTTCTTGCAAGTAGTTTTCAAACTGCGTGTCAATGTAATCAACTACTGGCCTGTAACTAAAAACAGATGCCATTAGCAACAAGAATGCTGAAGTTTAAATGAAGTTGACAGTTTAAAGTTATCATGCATTCTCTCAGCCCCATTATTTTAAAACCATTTACAAAGAAGCATAAAAATTTTTAGCCCTTCACTGGTAACATGCAGAATATTATATTCACACAAGCAACTTCTAATCAAAAGGTGTATGGTATTTTCAGAGACTCTGTTGCAGCACAAAAGGGATTAATGCTGGTGGAACTGAAATATGGAAAGCAGACAACATTCATACATCAAGCTTTGACTAGATTTCAGGTGTAAAGTATCTCGATGTAGTAGCATAGCAATACAAAGAGGAGAATCCAGGAATCCTGAAGAGCCTTTACCATTGGATAGCCATGGCAGATTATAACTACTTTGAAAGGAGGCCAATTGAAATTATTGCAAGACGTCTTACAGGGACTTAGACTCATAGACTTTAAGGCCAGAAGGGACCATCATCATCTAGTCTGACCTCCTGCAAAGGTCACTTGATCCAAACAAGGTGCATGAGCAGTTAAATGGGAGTAGGTGGGAGGAACCAATATCACAAACTGATCATTGTCATCATGGACAATTCCAACTATTCCACAGTTGGTTTGGTTTTTTTAACTAGATTTGTAAGAGTTTACAGGTTAGCTAACCAAGCCATCTGAAAGGGAAGAGACTATTATTCTCTGCTAAAGACAATGGGACGAAACCTGAGATGTGCTGAGCATCTGCAATTCCCATTGACTTCAAAAGGAGCTGCAGATGGTCAGCATCCCTCAGGATTTGGCTCGGTGAGTTTTTGAGTGAGTTAAATAGATCTTTGGTTTAAGACACAGTTCTGTAGGTTCCCCACTAATCCAGTATCTTTCTGACTCATGATGCGAGTGAGCTCCCCTGAGTAATACGTTTTGGATGGATGGAGTGATAACACAACAAACCCCTCACCATCACTAATAAAAGGACAGATTCTGCACACAGTGGGACTCCTCATAGAGTAGGAGACTACTCGGCCGGAGTACGGGTGGCAGAACCTGGCCCAACGCAACGAAAGAAGAAGAGGTTAACAGCTTCTTCAACAAGCCTGGAGGAAAGAACTGCTCCTCAGCAGGTCTCCTCAGAGACTGTTGGTGTGTCTCTCACTGAATTAAGCAAACAAGTCAGCAGGATTTCACTGGATTCTTTAAGACAACTCACAACACGTTACAGTTTTCACTGCCTCACTAACCTCACCCTCTCTCCTTAGCCAAACTCCCTCTAGCATTCTCCCATACTTATTACAGCGGCTCATCCCTGCCCTCTTCAGTCTAACGCGGCCATAATCAAGACACCTCATAATCCAAATGGGAAAATTGGGTGCCCAGGAACAGAGTCTGTAACATTGCAGGGAGAATCACGTATGTTAGAACACTAGAGGCTGGTGCAGAAATGGCGACTAGATGGCATGTGACCTGCCTTTCATCTTTATTTATCTGGTCTCCAAACCCCACTGCATCCACGATTGTCAGTTTCAGGTGCACGTTGCTCTCCTGCAGGTCATAGGTACGCGGTCGTAAGCGAACTGCATTCTCGTAGTGACTGGCCTCCTCCGTCTCAAAGGTGGTATTGAAAAGTGTGTTCATTAGTGTGGATTTCCCGATGCCTGTTTCACCTAGGAAGGAAGAGTCACCATTCATTGCAGAGTGGAATTCGTAAAGGGACTTCAGAGTAAATTAATTACAGAGCAGAACAAAAATTAAACTGTGAGAGGTTACTGCAACTCCCCCAAGTTCAGAGAGGTATAATCATTGTGATGTTCCTACTGCCCTATTCCCAAAGGCCTCCGATTCTTAATCTTAGGCCTGGTCTACACTAGGACTTTAATTCGGATTTAGCTGCCTTAATCCGAATTAACCCTTCACCCGTCCACACTACAGAGCCAGTTAATTCGAATTAAAGGGCCCTTTAAATCGATTTCTGTACTCCACCTCGACGAACGGAGTAGAGCCTAAATCGATTTTGTTAATTCGAATTAGGGTTAGTGTGGACGCACACCACCGAATTACTGTGTTTAAGTTAATGGGGTAGTGTGGCCGCACACCACCGAATTAATGTGGTTTAAAACCGAATTAAGGTGCTTAGTGTGGCCGCGCACAATCGAATTTATACAACCTGTTTCCCAAATTCGAATTATCTAAATTCGGATTAATCCTGTAGTGTAGACATACCCTTATTTAGCACGTTGCTTCAGTATCACTGTTCATCTGAAGATCTCACAGCACATGCAAACAAAATCAAAGCAAACATAACCAGAACACTCTGCTGTCTCCAACCCAGATTTAGAGGCCAAAATAATGAAAGTTAGGAAGAACATAACAACTTACAGGACATTCAGTTCTGATTGATTCTTCATCTCAAATGCTTCTATTCACGAGTTACAATGTACTTGGCTCAATTTTTTCACACCTTTTACAATGTACTCACAAAGCAATAGCTCCAGGTACTTAAAACAGTTAACAATGCAAGTCAGTGCAGTGTGATCTACGTTCCGTGGATCTGTGGCAGAACTACATGAAATGTCTGCTTAAGTCTTTGGATTCTCTTTTTCTCATAGTGAGGTTTTTCGTGTGTGTTTTAGCACTGCCCAATGTATTTGGCTTTCGGCTTCCTTTGTTTGGCCTTGTCACTTGTCTCTCTTTGGGGATTTGCACAAGCAGGGCAAGCGTGTTCTCCCTCTGTGAGACAAAAGACTATTTCCACCCTTCCAGGATTTCAGATTTTGACCATTTATGAAACAGAGGAATATGTAATTTTTTTAGCAGACAGGGCAAAATCCCTCCTTAGAGTAACAGCACGTGAGTCCCAAGTGGTGAATCTGGCCCAGAATGTGGGAGGAAGAGGCCAGGATTGAGAATCCGGGGTGGTCAGAGCAACCTCAGTTGCTTTTTTTTTTAGTCCTGTGCTGCCTGTTTGTCAATGAGCACTTCCTGAGCGTGCCTGTGGGAATGGAGAGTTTGTGAGCGCGCACAATCAGCTAAGCGACTGTCTTGCCAAGTGCATGCCTAACTCCCTGACCTACATGTGCATGCAGTGAGCGTGTGCACAGATGGCGCCCTGGAGCTCAGGCTTCTATGGGTACATCCTCATTCAATGGAGGTGTAGTTTCCAACTCAGGTAGACATACACGTGCTAGCTTTCATCCAGCTAACATGCTAAAAATAGAAGTGTAGCCGTGGCGGCACAAGTGGCAGGACAGGCCAGACGCCCCGAGGAAACCCTGCCTGGGACCCTAGGTACTTACTTAGGCCACTAGCCCCTCCTGCCTCAGCAGCTACAGTTCTATTTTTAGCACACTAGCTAGATCAAAGCTAGTGTGTGTATGGCTACCAGAGCTGAAATTTACACCTGAAGCTCAAGTACAGACATACCCTAAGTATGGAAACCAGGCCTGTTAGTACTAGAGATGGTTTCTGGTCATTTTACATTAGTAAATGCTCCTAGCTAAGTATTAAGAACTCTTACTATACAACCACCCTACAAACCGTTTCTTTAAGTCTCCAATCAAAGCCAGATCAACCTAACAAATGCCCAGAGGCTTTAAAACAACTTGTTCCTCCGCTATACTCTTAATCCTTTCATCCCCAATGTGCCATTAATAAGGGTCAAAGGTTTGTAGAGCTCCCACTGCACAGAAACCCTTAGCCCCCTTCCCTTCACAGAAGTGGACCTGCTAAGTCAGTTTAACCTGTCAGCCAACACATCTGTTCCTCTGTTGTGCATGGCTGGTCTATGGCTGCAGGTCTGCCTTTGCCCAGCCAGACTGCATATCAGACAGCTGCTCCGCATGGCCCCTCTGCCTGCTCTGTTCTCCTAGCTGCTGCCCCCCATCGAGCCATCTCGAGAGTGAAGATTAGAGGCACCATGAGGTCTTCACTAGGGGTGTGATGAACAAAAGCGTGGGTGTGAGCACGACATGCTGGAAAACGCCCCAGTCTGACGCACAGGGTATCAGTACGTGCTGATCAGCAGGCAAACGCATGCAGCATTGAAACAAGGGAAAAGGGAAACACTGCTTGGGTGTTTTATTTATTGAGAACCCAATGCAAATCCCATTCCAAAGGCTTAAAACACTCCTTAGATCTGGCTTGGTATAAATAAATCTTCCAAAATATTCCCAGGCTGCACGTTACAGAGAGCAGGAAATGGTGCTGCATGGCGCGAGAGTGGCTGCGAGGCCACACATCAAGCAGAACCAGCCAAGTTGGAATCACAAGGAGATAAGCAAAAGAAAAGTTGCCTCAGGCGCCGATCTGAAGCCACCCAGGCAAACGTCTGAAGGAGAGATGAGCTGCCCAAACGCAAAGAGGGGCTGGAATGTTTTGAAATATGAGTTAACAAAAGCCTCAGCTGGCTGGGGAGATCTGGTGATAGAATCCAGAGAGGGTGGAACGCCTAAGCTGTAGAGATGGTTTCCTCCTATAGATCTCTTGCTGTACAGAGCTTACTTAGTCATTTTCCTCTCCCCCAACATTGCGTTGTTGCCCTTAGTCACACGCTCCAATCCACGTCAGCATGGTTTGTGGCAAAGGTAAAGCAAGACTAACAGACATTTGTTTGGGGCTGGGGCTGGGGGCAGTTAAACCAATGTCACATATTTTGGTCTTGCAGGCCACATACCAAGTGCCATATTGCTGTACAGTCTTGGCAGAGCGTTGCCCAGGAGCAAGGCAGCAGGGATCCGTTGGTTTAGCATCATCCCCCTCGCCTAATGCATCATCTGTGCAGGAAGAGCTAGAAGAAATCTCTGCCAAGCTGAATAATTTAGATAAGCAGAGGGATGGAATGTGAAGTCAAATGGGGACACCAGAGACGGGCTCAGTGGGAAGAAGACTATAAAACTAAGAAAATTAATAAAGGAAAGTTGAGGGTCTCTCCCAGGCCAGCTTCCCCAGATGAATAATGATCACATGCACTGCCCACACACCAAGGCAAACTGTACAAGATAGAATGGATAAACCTTAGTGCTACATTTTCAGCATTGACGGGCCACCATTTTAACTTTACTAGGCATGCCCCTTCCTGGCCATCGTCTTTTGGAACTGATAAAGAGAGTCTAAGGTGCACCGATCAGCTGAGTTGAACCGACGTGGTTATGGGAGAGTGGGATAACTGGCAAGCTGCTAGACTACAGAGGCACCTAAGCCTGATACAAGGTTTTTATTTTAGACCCTAGCAGGTTCTGGAACCCTTCTGCTCCCACCTTGGAGAACAAATACTGAGTGGAATATTTGTACTGTAGATAGAATGGTGGAGAGCCAAATACTGGATCCCCCAACAATGGCTAAATGCCATGTGAAGGAGACAAAAACCAACTGATGATCCAAACCCATCTGGCAGGGAAGTCATTTGGAAAGCTCAGGGCTGACCTATCCAAAGTCTGTCAGGAAGCATTGACTTTCTCCCAGCATTCTCCTGTCCAGGTTGGGTCAGGACTGGGAGGAAGAATTTGTAATAACAGTCAACAGCTGTAATTGAGTTCTTCTCTCTTTGCCAGGGAACTATAGGAAATTTGATGATCTCTCCCACTGTTTCATAGATTTAAAGGCCAGAAGAGGCCACTGAATCATCTAGTCTGACCTCTTCCCCCCTCAAAAAATAAATGTGGTGATTACAAATGCACGGTCTTCTGCTGCTGGCACACTGCTTTTGAAGAATGACATTACAAAGCCCAGGGTAACATCCTTGCTTGATGTTAAACTCTGGGTATAAGGAATGCTGTTTACTGAGGGTTTGGGTATGAAAAAAAAAAAAGTGTAGGTAGGGAGTTCCTAAAGGGGTCAGGATCAGAATAAAGGAAGTATTCCACTGCCCACTCTATGTAAAGCTGTATCCAGTCTGGACAGGAAGAGATCTTGGAACACATTTCAGATATTGAAAATATCACTTCCCCTGCCTTGATCACTGGTCCAGAGCCAGTGCTGGGAAGAATTCTCTGCCCCCAAAAGCATTTCAACTATTATTGCAGCTTGCAGTACTTTAAGCCTAAAACAAAAGCATGCCAAGCAAACAAACAAAAAAATCATCTGCAAGCCAGCACCCCCAGGCATCACCAGAAAGGACTGGCTTCAAGCAGTCTGTGTGGCATCAGCTACTAGAATCATGCACAAATTGAAAGGGAAAAAGTAAAATTATAATGAGATTATTGTAAGGTCTGTTCTCTAGCAACCGGCCAGCATGCTTAGAGATAACTGTTTTATGCTGAAGGCAAACAGGAAATTCCATCTTTCTTTGGGGACAGAAATGGACCCAATTCAAAACTCTGGATTCACCCACCCCCAAATTCTGCGAAAGTTCCAATCTGGACCCAGTTCAGCTATAAAGAATTACTATTTCTAGCTGTAGTGATAGTGATTCTTAAGCCTACTATCAGCCACTTCATTTCCCCATCCTCAAATCCATACGTCTAAGGCCCTACCAAATTCACAGTCCATTTTGTTCAATTTCACAGTCATAGGATTTAAAAAATCACAAATGTCATAATTTCAGATATTTAAATGTGAAATTTCATGGTGTTGTAATTGTAGGGGTTCTGACCCAAAAAAGAGTGGGGGGGGTCCACAAGTTATTGTAGGGGGTTGCGGTATTGCTACTCTTATTTCTGCGCTGCTACTAGCGGTGGCACTGCCTTCAGAGCTGGGTAGCTGGAGCGTGGGGCTGCTGGCCGGGAGCCCAGCTCTGAAGGCAGAGCCGCCGCCAGCAGCAGCGCAGAAGCAAGGATGGCATGATATGATACTGCCACCCTTACTTCTGCGCTGCTGCTTTCAGAGCTGGGCCCTCAGTCATCAGCCGCCCCTCTCCAGCTGCCCAGCTCTGAAGGCAGAAGTGCAGAAGTAAGGGTGGCATGGTATGGTATTGCCACCCCTACTTCTGTGCTGGTGCTGGTGGGGTGCTGCCTTCAGAGCTGGATGCCTGGCCAACAGCCGCCAGCCGCCCAGCTCTGAAGGCAGCGCAGAAGTAAGGGTGGCAATACCATGACCCCCCTAAAATAACCTTGTGACCCCTCACCCTCTTTTGGATCAGGACTCCCAGTTTGAAAAGCACCGGTCTCCCCCGTGAAATCTGTATGGTGTAGGGTAAAAGCACACAAAAGACCAGATTTCACAGGGGGAGACCAGATTTCACCGTCCATGACACATTTTTCATGGCCATGAATTTGGTAGGGCCCTACATATGTCCCACATCAGCTCAGGTACAGAAGCTAATTCTGTTTGTCCTCCCATCATGATCTGGCTGCAGCTAAAACAACCCATGCTTAGGGATGGGCAGGAAATTTTTTTTTTTCCATCTTTTGAACGTTTTTGAGAATTTGAAAGATCTTCCTGTCCCAAATTTGGTTGAAAGGTCAAAGTATCAAAAACTTTTGTGGACCAACAATCCAAAAAAATCCCCAAAAAGAAAAACCCAGTTTTGGCCAATTGAAGCATTTTGTTTGATTTTTTAAAAATATTTCATTTCAATTTCAACCACTTTTAAAAATCTAATTAGCTTAAATTTCAAAACAAAAGGTTGCTTTGAACCGGAAAACTGGAATTTTTCATTTGAAAAAATGTCGACATTTTTGGAACTTTTGAAAAATATGTTTTGAGTTGAAAAATTCATCAAAACCTTTCACACAAAAAGTTTCAGGTTAGATGAACTGGCATTTATTGCCCAAAAAAGTTTAATAATAAATAAAATTATTATTAATAATTATAAATAAATAATAATAATCCCTGCCCAGCTCTATATATGTGGAATATTTCAACAGAAAAAAACCCTTCAATTATCTTTATGAAGAGGAACACGGTTTCCTTCATGAAACAATAAAACACGAAGTTATGTTAACGGCAGTCTGGACTTCTGAGTGCTATTGTAATGGCTGCCACCTTGGCCAACACACTCGGGACTGAATTAGGGATCTCCAGAGCTGCTACAACTACAACTGAAGAGGATGAGAGTCCATTACAGCCCCAGCTAGAGAGCTTTAACTCTGGAGATCTATTCTGAGGGGAACCTGTAACACACACTTACCAGTAGTTTACACTATTCCCAGATCTACTACAGACTTGTTGTTACACCTTCGGAAAGTCATTTAAGGACAAAACTTTCCAAAAGTGCCCACTTATTTCGAGTGCCTAGTGCATGATAGACCATTGGCAGAACACCCACAACTCCAACTGATATTGAACACAGCTGAAGGTGCTCAGAGCTTATAAAAAGCAGATCAGTGGCATCCAAAATTGGGCCTACAGAATAAGCTAGCACTTGTGAAAATTTAGGCCTATGTGGTTTGCCCAAGGTCACACTGAGTTTGTGACAGAGCAGGGAACTGAACAAATTTTGGCCTTAACTTCTTTGCATTTTCCATGTAAAATTCCAGTAATGATACTTATCTCTCTTTGTGACGTGCTCCGACATCCATGGATCTGATGTGCTACTAGATTATTATTTATTGTATTATTACTACTAAGAATTTCCCTAGTCTATGGTAAACTCTGCTTACCCACACAGAGGATGTTGAAGCTGAATCCTTGTGTGACAGATTTGCTGACAAGCTGATCTGGGAGACTATCAAATCCAACATGGCCCCCCAGGGAAAGATTCCGCTTCTCTTCATTCTGTTAAAGCAAACAGAGTCAATTTAGCCAGAGCGCATTAAAAGAGAGTCAATAGCACAAGGGCTAAGGAATAAAAATCACAAGAAACGTTACCATCATACTCGAGGCAGCGCGTGTTTCCCAGTCACTGAGGTAATCCTAACTCTACCCGCACAGAGGTTTATTATGTTTTGATATCCACATTCCAGACATACTGGTAATTATAGCCAAGCATCAGTAGAAAAAAAATCTAATCTTAACAGGGAATTATCTTAAAGAGACAGCACACTAAACTGCTGAGCCACTCTGGAAGAAAAAGTCGGGGCAAGATTCAGCTGCGTCCAGCTTGTGGAGAATAAAGCAGGAAAAAACCATCTTCCCATGTTTTTCGATCACTTCCCTCCCCCTTTTATGTTCTGAGAGGTTCCTGCACTGAATTATGTCAGAGCTAGTCTGGAGCTCCTTCACAGCCCTTGATCTTTTTCCTTTGGCTTTGCCTTAAGCAGCTTTGTTCAGTCACACTTCTAGGGGTACGTGTTACAAGGGGAGGCAAATGAACCCTCTCACCTCACCATCTGTGACCACACCAGTTCCTCTTCTTCTTCAGCTGTTCCTGTCTCTCCCACCATCCCCCCACGCATACACCTTACAATCCCATCTGTCTCCTTCCTCCCCAAGTGGAAGAAGAAGCTGGTCACTTTCACGGGAAGCTTTGTTTAGAAATAAATAAATAGGATCGACACAGGAGGAAATAACTCAGAGTAATAAAATGTCTCTCTTAATAAATCACAGACAGACAGAAAGGCATGAAGCCTCCAGTCTGCTCCAGCAGGGATGCACATTCTACTCTTTGTGGATTTTACTCTACTGTGCCCGGGGGTCTGAGTAAATACACACAAGCAAGAAAGTAATCAGCCCAGCAGAAGACACAGGCCAAACTCCTGATGGCATAACCAATCAGCTCCAGGCTTCAATAAACTAGCATTTGTTTACACGGGGGCTGAATTTGGCCCAGGGACTCTACAGGATTATTATCTTTCCTAGTAACTTAAGCCTATCAGTCCCAGAAATTGACAAACATGCTTGCAATCCTATTCACCTTGCAAAGTTTACCTCTCTGCCTGCCAAAGGCATCCAATGGAATGCATAACAAGGACACAGAGACTTAGCACAGACACTGCCTGCCACTGCACACAGAAAAGGGAAAAAGAAAATTGTCTCAATTGAAAATCCAGAACCACTGTTACTAGTTAGGAAAGTACATAAAAGGGCTGAACTCAGCCCTGGGTTAAGCAGACTAGTTATTGGGCTCAATACAGGAGTAAGGGAGTGCAGTTCTGTGCCCTGTGTTACACAGGAGGTCAGAATAGATGATCTAATGGTGCTTTCTGGCCTTAAAATCTATGGGACATTGATTCCACTAGAATCAATGGACAAGGGAAATTGCATCCAGTATCCTTAGTTCAAGTGATTCAGAATAGAACTGTTGCAAAGTGTTTATTTTGTATATATATGTTTAGATTTACAATCAACTTTCACCTTGTCTCCACACAGCCAAATAATACTACCAAAACCAACTGAGCAGACCACTGAATTTACAAACTGGTTTTTCTTTTCATTTTCAAGTTGCCTCTAAAAGCAGTTAGACCTAATGGAGAAGCAAATGTCCAGAAATGTTATTTTAAGGTACTGCTTATTCAGTTTCATCCTAACATTTCCTTTGTGGAATTACACATTTGCTGTTGTGACATACACCTCTACCCCGATATAACGCGACCCGATATAACACAAATTCGGATATAACGCGGTAAAGCAGTGCTACGGGGGGGGGGGGGGGGCGCGCTCCGGCGGATCAAAGCAAGTTTGATATAACGCAGTTTCACCTTTAACGCGGTAAGATTTTTTGGCTCCCGAGGACAGCGTTTTATCGGGGTAGAGGTGTATTTAAATGCAGCCATTTTTTTTTTTAAATTACAAGCACAGGGCGGAAAAGATAAGTGTCTACTTATCTGATCAGGTTTTTCTGCTCCTGTTCCCATCCCCCACTACTCTGCCCTGATGTTCCAGTGTGTAACACAGCCCGACGACAGAAGCCATGGACTTAGAATAAAGTTAATAGGCTGTCATGTTTTAAAATATATTCCCATGGAGGAGGGGAAAGTTCTAAAAGCAGTAACTTGAAATTCATTCTCTCTGGGAGAGCAAGATTCCTAAACAAAAGATTAACTTGTTTAATTTCACCTCAAGTCAACGTTGTCTTCAGTCCTGCCTTGGGAAGAATAAATAAATATTTTCTTTATTAAAAAAAAAAGACTTTTAATTACAAGAGGAACTTTTAAATGGCGAGGCAGCTACCACATTTGAAATAATACACTGAACCTTCTTTTCTGTGGGTGTTGATCTGTTTTTGTTACTGTCTTTCAGATGAAAATTATCACAATGCTCTCCCTGGAGCAGAAAGACAATCTGACCATAATCGTTTGTTCTCTTGCAATCAATTCCTGTTTAATCTATCAGTATTAATTGTTCTCACCAAACAACGAGGAAGAAGCCATCACCAAAAAAATCCCCTTCGAGAGAGATGGTGTCTATTCAGACTAGGGTGACCAGATGTCCCGATTTTATAGGGACAGTCCTGATTTTTGGGTCTTTTTCTTATATAGGCTCCTATTACCCCCCACCCCCATCCCGATTTTTCACATTTGCTGTCTGGTCACCCTAATTCAGACTCAAATGTGGTCAAGTGCTTAGACACCAAAAGTATTTCCCATTGTTTATCAACTAAACCAGGACCTGCATTCAGAAATAAATCATGTTCTCTCTAAGCCATGGTCACTTGGCCTATAAACACATTGTACGCAGGTGTTGAACTTCCCCTTCTTTCCTCCACTAATTGGCCAGGCTAGTCAGAGATATACTAGTCTAATCTTTCAGACCTTTGGCTTATTTTTCAGTTCTTACTTTGCATCTCTTTCCATGGTGACAGGTTTCAGAGGGGTAGCCGAGTTAGTCTGTATCAGCAAAAAAACAAGGAGTTCTTGTGGCACCATAGAGACTAACAAATTTATTTGGGCATAAGCTTTCGTGGGCTAGAACCCACTTCATCAGATGCATGGAGTGGAAAATACAAGAGCAAGTATAAATACATGAAAGGATGGGAGTTGCCTTATCAAGTGTGAGGTCAGTCTAACAAGACAATTCAATTAACAGCAGGATATCAAGGGAGGAAAAATAACTTTTGAAGTGGTAATGAGAGTGGCCCATCTCACACCTTCTTGTCTACCATCTGAAATGGGCCACTCTCATTACTACTTCAAAAGTTATTTTTCCTCCCTTGGTATCCTGCTGTTAATTGAATTGTCTTGTTAAACTGACCTCACACTTGGTAAGGCAACTCCCATCCTTTCATGTATTTATACCTGCTCCTGTATTTTCCACTCCATGCATCTGATGAAGTGGGTTCTAGCCCACAAAAGCTTATGCCCAAATAAATTTGTTAGTCTCTAAGGGGCCACAAGGACTCCTCATCTCTTTCCATGTCACTTCATTTCTAGCCATGTCACGGAGCTGGGTGCTGCAGTACATTAGCATACTCAGCTCGCACTCCAGAAGACACTGGTTCAACTCCTAACAGCAGGAGTAAGGAGAGGTCTCAACCCTCCCATCACATTTCGGCATGATTTGTAGTCTTGGCCCAAAGACGGTCTAGCGGGCATACATCCCATACCTGAGAACCCCCTGCCTGCCAATGCATTTCAGGCCTGAGCTGCCTGTCAGGGCCTTGTCTACACTATGGAGTTAGGTGGAGGGATAGCTCAGTGGTTTGAGCACTGGCCTGCTAAACCCAGGGTTGCGAATTCAATCCTTGAGGGGGCCACTTAGGGATCTGGGGCAAAATCTGTACTTGGTCCTGCTACTGAAGGCAGGGGACTGGACTTGATGACCTTTCAGGGTCCCTTCCAGCTCTATGAGATAGGTATATCTCCATCTCTCTCTCTATATATATATATAACTCTGTAAGTGTATACCCAACGACATCAGCCGAAGGGCAGTGGGTCTCCAGCTGTGAGCCCCGCACAGAGCTGACAGGCGATGTAAGTAACGCAGTGTCTACACAGATACTGTGTCATCCTAACTATGTCAACCTAAGCGCTACGCTTCTCATGGAGGTGGAGTTATTAGGTCGGTGTAGTGGGCGACTTACATCGGCGGGAGCAATGTTGTAGGTAGACCCTTACGTCAACCTAACTCTGTAGGGTAGACCAAGCCCTAGACAGGCACCCCAAGCCTGAAATGCATTGGCAGGCAGGGGCCCCTGTTCCCAGGCATGGGATGTATTGATAGTCCGGAGCTTGCCCACCATCTGCCTGCACTGTGCTTGGCCAGTTGTTCTTGGTCCATTTTCATAAGCACAAAATTAATGCACAAAAATTTTTCAAGAAAAATTACACATTTCCTCTCCCCCGCCCCATTTCTGCGTCTTCCTCAAATTGCTGTTTACGTTTTGTCCTAGTGTTTGCTCTCTCTCTCTTTTCCTCTTGCTTCTTACAAGGAACACACTGTGACAGGGACTAGCAAAAGCACCATCTGCACAGCTAAAGAACTCCTTGAGGCTTCCACCCACTTTCACTCCAGCCTCTCAAAGCTGGCTTCCCTTTCCCCCTACCCACATCCCTTAGAGAGAATCCTCCCCCGACTTGGTCACACAGGTTAAGATATTATCAGGTAGAGTCACTCTGATGCAGAGACAATGTGGCAGGAAAGCATATTGCTTCCACAGAAAATGGACTGTTATGGCCACGTGTGGGGGGTCAACCAAGCCTAACCAAAAACATACACCAGAAATTTAAGATGCTTTCCATAATCACCACTGTCTGGAAAGGAAATAAACAAGGCTGCTTGAGAGCTATGATTAGAATAAGAATGCCCCCAAAAGACTTGAGACATGTTCCTAGGCAACAGCTGGCATCACTATGACTGATTTTAAAGCAGGCTCTAGCAAGGCCAAGCTAAATCAAAAA